GAATGTTCTCCCATACCATGCTAGACAACACATCTATGATGCTAAGGAGGTCAGCTTTACCGAAGTCATAAGAAACCGTAGCAGGATAATCGTCGAAATCACGCACGAGTTTGTCCTCAACAGTGACAATTAGAGGAGGGTAATGTGGAACTAGCTTAGTTAGTGCACAAGGAGCCGAGGAAATTAATGGAGCCCTGTCCTGTGTGCCCACGAAGCAGAGGTCCAAACTACGATCATGTTCGTTAACTACATGGTTAATTTGAGAAAGCGTCGCTGCGCTGTAGTTGTCGAGAAGCTCCTGTGTGACATGTAGAGTTATCAGGATCTGGGTACAGGAATCCGCTATGAGATGGACTCCACGAAACTACAAAACTTCTTCAAGAGCAACCGTTGCTAGGCAGCAAGAAAAACAACCCGGTCTTCGCAACCAACTAAGGCAATCAAGTGCAAATGGGTGTACAAAACGAAACGTGATGCTGCTGGAGGAGTTCAACGGCACAAGGCGCGGCTGGTCATCAAAGGCTACTCACAGCGAAAGGGGGTAGACTACGATGAAACGTATGCTCCCGTTGTTCGCTATAGTTCGCTGCGATACCTTTTCACGCTGGCTGTCAAGCACGACCTCACGATCGACCAGCTGGATGCAGTGACGGTTTTCCTGCAGGGTGACCTCGACGAGGAAATATACATGAAACAGCCCCCATGCTTCGTTCACGGAAGAAGAAAGACCTAGGTGTGAAAGTTGAACAAGGCGTTCAGTCAAGTTTGGAACCACAAACTGGATGCTGCGATTTGGCCTGGTATCAACGCAATACGATCCTTGTGTCTACGTCTGCATTAAAAATGGCTAAATTCTTATTGTTGCTATTTATGTAGACGATTTAATGATATTCAGCAACGACGAGACATGGAAAAATATGCTGAAGCAACAGCTAAGCAACACTTTCCGGATGAAAGATCTGGTTTGCACCGGATCAAGAAGCCTACATCAAAACGATTTTGAAGCGGTGCAACATGGATCGGTGCAAATCAGTGAAGGTGAAGGTACCGATGAACACTAGCGAGAAACTTTCCAAGGATGCGAGCCCGAAGGATCACGAGGAATCTGCTGCTATGAAGGATGTTCCGTATCAGGAAGCTGTCGGGTGTCTTATGTATTTGGCGCAAAGCACTCGACCGGACATACTGTTCGCCGTGAATACCCTCAGCCGGTTCAACAATAATCCAGGTATCAAGCACTGGAATGCGGTGAAGCATGTTCTGCGTTACTTACGTGGAACCTCAAACTTGAAGTTGGTCTACAACAAGCATGCCGATTCAAGCATAATCGGCTACTGCGACGCGGATTGGGGATCCGATCCGGACGAACGTAAGTCAACCAGCGGCAACGTTTTCATGGCTCAAGGCGGTGCTATTTCGTGGTCATGCAAGAAGCAACCTACGGTGGCGCTATCGACGTGTGAGGCGGAATATATGTCCGTTTCGGCTGCGGTACAGGAAGCGTCCTGGTGGCGAGGGCTTTCTGTGCTATTCAACGAAGAAGGAGAAATGGAAATCCACTGCGACAACCAAAGCTGTATTGCAATCGCCAAGAGTGGTGGTTATAATCCTCGTACGAAGAATATCGACATACGCCATCACTACATCAGGGACGCTTTGGATCGTGGTGTGGTGAAACTGGTTTACTTTGGCACGGAGAAGCAGATCGCTGATGGACTAACCAAACCATAGCAGAGGACGAAGTTTGAAGAGAGCCGATGATGGGAATCTCTGCGGCTTGAGGAGGAGTGTTGAAGCGAAGCTGTTAGCAATCGAAGCAAGCCTTGACATTTATACTTAATTGTAAACGTCTTAAATAAAATTAGTTCTTCTCTAACCACTACCAAAGACAGACGTATTTAGCTACTATGCATACAATCTCCCTGAATCAGCCTAGGCGTAGTAATTTGTTCCTCGGCTTTATCAAGCAGTACCTAGTTCAATGTCCGGTATTCCTTGGCTGGGAAAGTAGAAACTGACTACAGAGACAGGAAAAAGAGTAGATATTCTGGAAGCTGCGATCAGAAGCTCAGTAGACACATATATCGGAGTAAAGGGCACCGATTAATGCATACCTTAAGCCGATGATTGGTACGTGTTTTTCCCTTTTTAAGCAACCAATTATATTGACCGCTGAGAGTCTTTTCCATGGCATCTATGTTGGTTCTATGGACTTTCTGTATTGCCAGTGCTATGGGAGGGTTGTCCCGTACCAGTGGCGTCGCTCTAACCTCAATCTAACTGTTCAACAACTCTCAAAACGTAAACAAACAAAACAATATGGGTTCAAATGGATACAAATCAGTGTCCTTTGAAACTGATTGGAATGTAAACATGACCCTAAATAACGTTTTCAAAGTTGTTGAACAGATAAGAAGTGAGGTTACGTGACGCCGCTGTCCAGTACCATCGTCTCCAAGTCGGTAAGATTATGAAAATATCCGTTCATGTTCCATTGAATGGTGATTCGCGTGTGATGATGAACTAGATTTGAGCTTGACACAGATTCTTGAGTAGATTCCGAGAATCTTGATTTTGATGGGCAGGAGATTGTTTCATGCATGCTATAGGTGGTGCCGATCCTGTTATTAGAGCTAGTAGAACTCGGTTGATTGCCCCACATAGGTCCGAAGAGATTGCGTTGTAATCGGTCGTATTCGGTTGCGTCCACCAAGGCGTGTAGGGGCAACGCAGATGGGAAATTATTTGTTAACGGTTGAACCATAGAGGTAACTTCGCCGGTGGAAGGAACGTGCATTGGCTTTACCTATATCTTGTTGCGGAATCCGTGATGTGGTCAACTCTGGCCTTTTCCGGTATGGATAAAGTTCTTCTATGATCCTCCGATCCAAGGGAATGGACAAGAGTGCCCTTGTCCGTCCATCTACTGCGGTCCTCAGGATGCCGGGGCGTAATTGTTTTTGTAAAAAATGGCTTTACCCGTTGATTTCTCGCATATTAAAGCTCACCTCTCCAAATTAACAATGCTAGCTGGTACAGGAAACATTCATCTACCTGTTCGTGTCAATAATTTTCGTTTGTGAGCTTTTATTTGCGAGAAATCGACGGCTAAAGCTTTTGTTTAGAAAATCAATTACACCCATTTGAAATGTTGACACTAAAATATTATTTTGTACAGCCTTGTGCACTGTTATTGGTGAGAATAATGACCACACAGAGAAGTTCCCTGGGCTTTGGCAAAACCTTGAGGTAGTTTAATTAGGCTACCAGGTCCCAGGGCTGATCTGGATCTTTACCACATTGGAAAGATGCACACTAGTGTTGCCAGATCAGTGTTGATGCTTACCAAAAGTGCATTTGAACCCGCTTATAAAAGCATATTAACAGATTAATCATCACCGTACATTGTTTATTGCTCTGTACTAATAAATAAATGATTAAGCACAGCATTTGATATTTTAGTAGAAATGCTGGATTTAGTCGTAGTGGAAATCATTTGTTTTTTAATCCATCCTTTATTGAAATGGATTTATTTCTATAGGTATGCACGTTTGGAAAGTATCATCACAAAGATTCTGCACTCGGTCTACAGCTTGTGGGTGGGAAGCGTTGTGTTTGTTTTTGTTTTTTTTATCTATTTATAGAGTCAATTCTTAGAAATATGAAGCGAAAGACAAATCAAGCATTAAGCACAAGACCTTCAAGAAAACTAACAACACGAAGTCTGGAAATGGCAATGTTTCATTCAAAATGTCAAGTATTTCAAGAATATCGGGTGAGACCAATCGGACCGAGCGCTCTTTCGGTCATCTGGAAGGGTTGTGTACGAGGAGCGATTTTAATCCCCCCAGTTTTGAAGATATTCCGGAGCGAGGATCCATTATGTCAGAGGAAGGATAGAAGTGGCATATCCAGAAACACAATACAATACACAACAAGAGAAGGAAGAAGGATTAAAGGTAAACAGGGAGTACATGGGAACGTCGAAAACTGTAAGTATACTCCGATCTATTCTAGTACTCTTGTATAACACCTATTGTAAACCGGCTAGATCGTAGGCGTCGTCACCGGGACGCATAGTCATGTGAAGATTGCCAGATCCGTGACCACTCATGATAAAGCACACAATTGCTTTGAAACACCCGCATGAACGATATCCATAAGGAATGCCTAACAACCTATTCGGGTTATCATTCCAACAATATGTGGTACGGTGGCACGATTTGTGATATCGTTCATGTATGGTGCTCCCCCCACCCTTTAGGGTCGCTGACGCTCATTGTACGCTCTTTCGTTCTTCGGTTGATTAAATGGATGACGGAGTTTGACGTCACACTCCTTCAGACGTTTAGGCGGCGGGTGGGCGAGAGGGATGGCTGTTCAGTACACGGAGACAATTTTACAAATGTATTTCTAATAGGTAAATCACAGTTTAAAACTCACCAAAAATCTCTAGCAATCTCTTTTAATTTCTTTTTCATTGACGGTGTGATGTAATCGATACGCTATGTGACGGGAGCGTAAACTAAACGAGGCCATTTTTCAATGATACGATAATAACTTATGCGCTTTTCACACAAAACCTACCCAACCCTTTCCTTTCTACAATCCCTGAGCAGCTGGTTTACCATAAGTATACCTCGCAGAACTTTTTTAACCCCCATGGGTAAAGATGCTGTGTTGCTCACTCCTCTCCCCTTCCCTGGTGTATTATGGATGGTGTGAATATTCACATCGGTGACATGGCCCTGACCTCCTTGTAAATCATAAAATGAAAATGAAAATGAAAATGAAAATGAATAATGACCACACAGAGAAGTTTAAATCCTTACTGTGCTACCATCAATATTACTACGTCGGTTACAACCTTATGAAGAGCTTAGTAATAAAATTAAGAGCAAAACGACCATTTCTAGCGCGACTGAATTAAATCCACAATGCCTTTAAAAAACACATATTTTCGACTTTAATTCATCGCCATTCTTTTTCCACTTTCACAGGCCCCACCAACGGTGGTCAGCAAGGAGCAGCGGCAACAGTCGGAAAGCATCTTCATGAACTTCCGCAAAACCAAATCCCCATACGTCCTGTGCCAGACCATCCTGGAGAAATCCGTCGTCGATTTGGTACTGTTCGAGGCTGCCGACGTCCTGAAGAAGGCCGTCATTGCCGAATGGAAGTACATTCCCGATCACGACAAAGCATCCCTGCGTCAGTATCTGCTGAACTACATCATTCAACGGGACATTCCAGTATTCATTCGGGACAAACTGCTCCAGGTGGTAGCGATCATGATAAAACGTGCCAGCCTGGAGGATGTCGGTGCCGAGCGGGGTCAAATTATTGAAGAGACGAAGAAGATGCTCACTTCCGGTGACGTGAAGCAGCAAATCCTAAGCTGCAGCATCATATTGGCCATATTGGAAGAGTACTGCAACATAGTTCGATCGGACGATACCGGTCTGACGACGTACGAACACTTCCGGGCAAAGAAGCAATTCGAGGATTCGGATTTGCTCAAGGTCTTCGTCATGACACTGCAATCGATGGAAGAGTTGATTAAAATGTTCGATGCTAGCAATTCGATGCATTTGTATCTGTTCAAGCAGATGCTTTCGGTAATGGAAACTATACTGACGTGGGGATTTTTGCTGCCCAAGTTGCAAATTGTACGAGTCCTGCAGCCCTCGCTATCGAAGAAAATTATCGATACGTCGGAAACGGTGACCAAAGCTTTGCATGCACCACCGTTGCGATTGCATGTCCAGTGGAAAAATATTATCTTCGAGCCGAAGCTGTTGGAGATATTCTTCTACATATACTGGAAGACGAGAGATAACGAAGAACTGCAACCGAAAGCGCTGATCTGTATCCTGCAGTTATCCACGTTAAAAGGACCGATCATTACCGAAAACAAGGACGAAAGCATGACCTACTTGGTGAACTACTTAACGCATTTTCTTTCCATGCTTTCCACGTAAGTCGTAGGGGAACTATCCCGGAAACCTTGATGCTAACATTTTGTATTTCTTCGACAGAATCGAAATCAAAGAGAAGGAAGCGTACAGCTTTTCGCTCATCCTGCGAAAATTACTCCAACTTCTTCCCCGTGCTGAAATCAAAGGGCTACCGAATAACCTGTTCGAGGCATTCATGCAGCAAACTCTGACGTTGACGTTGAAGTTCATCGAGCTCTCAGCGATGGAGGAAGCTGTGAGTCCGTTTTAAATTTGAGTGCGAAACATTTTCTCTATGATAGATTCTATTTTGCAGATGTCTCCCGACGAAACGGTCTACATCGACGCACTGGGTAACCTGCTGGAGATTTGGCTGCACATTCTGAACGACAAGGAAAACTATCCCGTCGAAGTGATGGTGCCCTTTATAACGCAAATGTTTGAGAAGTATATTCAGTACCACCTGGCCGCACCGGATGGAATGCGTGGTGTTGGGCGTGACGGGGAGGCAATCGATGAGATTGCAGAATTCGAAGAATCCGACCGGGAACGCTTCAAGGAGCAACTGATCATCATCGGATACTTTGGGAGAGAAATTCTGTCTCATTCCTTACCTTTGCTGTCGAAACTGCTGGAAGACCGTACCCGCAGCTTGGGAACGCAGCTCCATATGCTTCATTCGACTAAAACAATGAGCGTTAGCAGTTCGAAAACGTTGGTAAACTTGTTCGAGGACATTCACTGGATCTTGCTTATTACCGGACATGTGTTGGCTCTGGAAGCGGACGGGGAGTCGGCGATGATTCCGTCGGAGATTCTGCATATTTGCAATCAACATATTGTTAACAATGTGACAGACGTCAACAATAGTTTGAAGTTGTTGGCTTCTCCCAATCAGGACATCCAGGAGATCCCAAATGCCGAGGTCAATGCAGATCCGGTGATTCGGCTGATTGCCGCTGGCTTCCGATTGTGCGAGTTGGAGAAAAGTGCCATCGAAGTTCGGATGTATCAGTTCCTAAGTCCCGAGTTGAGCACCACGTTGGTTTGGTTCCTGCGGCGTTGGTCCGATGCATATTTGATGCCACTGAAAGAGGATACGGTTAGTGCGACCTTCAAGCAAGCGTTCGGAGCTGGATCACACGGATCGGTGTGGGTGATAAATTATTTGCTAAATAAGATTTGTACGAATGCGCAATTTCTGCGTTCCGAACAGTCCGTTATTGAGGAAACTTGCGAACTGTTCCTAGTGCTTCTGAGCCGGAAACAACGGTGTCAAGCGATCTTCAATTCGGAATTCTTCCGGTCGATCTGCGACCTGAAGAGTGTGGACCTGCCGGTGTCAATCAAGCGGAAACTGCTGAAAGGTTTTGTGATGGTTGCTGCCAGCGTGGAGAGCGATGAGTTGCGAGCTGACTATCTGGGGAAGATTTTGTTGCCCATCGAAGAGAAGTATGTTTGGATTGTCGTAGCGCCGTACGAAGATGCTCGCAGCTAACGAGCCGTTGTTGGTTTATGTTACAGGTACAAAATGTTGATCTCACATCAAAATTTCCAATCCGTCTATCAGAATGAGGATGTCAAGCTGAAGGTGATTGAAATCCTGGAGGGACTAATCGGTTGTGTGCAGGGTGCTTACTCGAACTCGCTGACGATCATTTTTGCTAAAATCCAAGGAATATGCAAAGAGCTTCCGACATTCCTGGATCTGTATCGTAATTATATGGTAAGTTAGGAATCCGGCATTTTTTTTTCAGGGTGTTAGAGATCAGTGACTTTCTATGAATATTGCACTACGGAATGAGATGACTGACTATCATGTTTGTTTGTAGAAACGGGAAATTGCAAAACATAAACAGGTCGGTTTCGGCTTAACTTGTAATCGAGTATAGCTGAACGTCACGCAGAAGAAGGGATTTCAAATTCAACTAAAATATAGTTGACACACAGGTTATTATAATTTCACTGTTGATTCAACAATATTTATTAGCGGCGCCGGTGGTGTAGTGGTAAGCGTGATTGCCTCTCACCCCAAAATGTTTGGATTCAATCCCAGTCGGCACCGTCGGAATTTTCTGAGGTATAAAATCTCTGATCACGCCTTACTTCCGAAGGGGAAGTAAAGCCGTAGGTCCCCGGTCCATGAGTTTGATGGCTCGATAGGTAGGGTCCAGGTGTGGGAGCTGCCTTCCTGGAGTCGGGAGAATTGGTACTCCAGTACAGAAAACAAGATCGACGGAGAACAAATCAAAAATAAAAACAATATTTATTGCTGCAATAATCGTACAATAGTTGTGGAGGCGAACCAGCCTCAGGCTGAAAGCCCCCTTAATAAAGATAAATCAATCAATCAATCGTACAATATGTTTGAATCAATAAATAAAATATAGGTTATCGAATTTAAAATAAATTTCTGTTCGTAGTGGAAAAGAAAATCATGCGATGCAATCACTGAAATCCCTCAACCATAAATGGAAGATTTTTAGTGTGATGGCCTCAAAGACAAGTGCTTTTTTGTCATTAGGAGAAGCACCTAGTTTCTGCAATAAAAAGCATCAGTCAACATACCAAGCATAACAAAGCCTATACTAGCGCGTTGTATGAACATTTACACTCATTGTTCTCAAAACAAAAGAAGTCCTCCTAACGAATCCATTTTATATGCGTAGAACGAAGAAAAACCTAGAAAAATCAATGGCGTTTCAATACGTTATTACGACGGAATTGAAACTCGTAGAACGAATTTGGAATCAAGAAACAGTGTTAGATTTCTAACAATATCTCAATAATGTGCGACTCTATCAAATCCAACGGTACGTATAGAAAAGTAAATAAATTATAGTAGAATCAATCCATGTTTGGGTTCATATCCGTTCCAAAAAGAGAGGTTAAGTGCGGGTTGTGCTTAGTATGACGGAAATTAGATCAAAAACCCTACTAGGTAAAATTGCTCGAAACAACAGCTGTATTTTCTCATTTGTTTACGTTTTTAAGTAGGAGAGTTAAAAGTGAGGTAACCCGACGCCACTGTTTATGGGTCCAAATATGGCCGTCATGATGGTTGATATTCCCTGTCACTTCATGTTTCCTAAAGCCAGGGCTGGTAGCAGGTCACTTTTTAGTGACTTGGTCACTATTTTGAAGCCAGTCACTAAAAAGTCACTTTTTACACCAAAAAGTCACTATTTCCCTAAAAATAGTCACTAAAGTCACTTTTTCACTACTAAAATAGAGTGACATTTAAAAATATCAACGAAATGTTTAAATTAGGTACATTGCACTAAGAAAGTCTACAGTAGTTTTAACAAATTGTTAAAAAATTTAAAATTTTAACCAGGGTGACCAGTGAACCGCAAATTTTAAAACACCAGGAAAACTATTGGTAAATGCCTTCAATTTCGATTAAAAATCGGGGAAAATATACCTTCTTTCCCAGAAAATAGGTGGTAAACCTTGGAAACTTTCCAAAGGTATTTGTCTGTGATTCAAGGATGATTAAGAACTTTAAAAAATCCAAAGTAAATTTTAGAGAATTTTAAAGGATTCTAGGGATGACACCAAGATATATCAGAGAAGAATACCAAAGTACCGACTACAAAAGTCTCATGTAAAATTAAGTGCTCTGAACCGATTTCTTCATCTCCGCTTAAATCTTAACTTCGATTAAATCACTTTACGAGCAAACGTTCTCCCTTGATCTTTTTTCGTGTACTTTTTGCTCTGACCATTATCAATAAACTTTCAAACCCATTTGGAGCCATCCTCATAAAGCTCCGAAATCCTTTACCTTTCCTGTATCTTTCAGTTTTAAGGTGTCCAAAAAGATCAAGCAACAGAGCTCACAGTTATGGAATACAATTTCTGAAGTATGAATTTGACATGATGGCTGACCTGAAAAAAAACTCCACGACCTTCTGAGGATCAAGATCCGACGGAAGCAAGAAATCATAAGGCTATCGCAAAAAAAAAAAATGATTGATTGCAAACCTTGACGAACCCCTGCAGAAACCAGATTGCAGTTGAAACGAAGCGATAAGCGGTGCTAGTATCCTCATCACTTATTAGGAAATAATTGGATTCCTAATGCACCTGATGATGGGTACCCGAGCGGAGTTGTGCTTCATCGGTGGATATCTTTCGAGGTTTAAAGACACATCACTGGCTACACACGAGAAGAGTGCGAAGATATGTTCAAGGAATTAGAGTTGGTTCATCAATGGAGCCCGATTGCCTGTTGTTGTATGTGGCGAAGAGGACCGGATGTGCGTTTCAGGATTCCTACTGAAAATTTTCGGATGGCTGTGGCGTGGTCTGCTCGGAAACAAGGTGCGGTGGCGATGTCATCTACTGAAAATCTCTGGTTTCTTCATCGTTTTAAAAACTATACAAGTCAATTACGATTAGAAGTAAGCGACTGAAAGGGGGTAATAGTAAAATTAAATCAAAATAGCGATTGACTTACTGGAAATGTCGAAAAAAAAGGTAGAAGAAGAAACAACGAACATTTTATGGGACCCGTACAAGAGGCCGAATCACAAAAGGCCGAAGCTCAAAAGGCCAAAAATATTCTAAGGTACCACAAAAGGCCGAAAATCGAAAAGGCCAAACCAAAAAGGCCGAAAACCAACATTTGTTTATTTGTTATGTTTGCATCAACAGACTAGAAATAGTCCCAATGATGTGTTGTAAAAAAAAATACAGATTATACAGACTACATATACTACAGTTACAAACGAAAATAACTTGGAATGCATTGTCAAGTTACTAAAAATGTATAAGTCTAAAATTTTATACTTAGCTGTTGGGCGTCAAGCGCCTTCGGTCAGCAAAAAAGGCAGAGAATCTTCGGCGAAGCATTTTCCTTTGCAAGTGAAAATCGAACATCGACGCTACTCGGTTGAATACTCGCTGCAAGCCGTAAATAGCGCTCCCTAAGCTATAATTAGTTTGAAGAAGTGGAAGTCTAAGCATAAGATTGTTGCGTAGTGATCACTTGTTCACTTGTTGCAGAATTGCTTCGCAGTCTCTGTAAGGCTCTGAAAACATTTCTTCGTATACGTAAGGGCTCGACATTGATCAATTGGCAGCGATTTTTGTAGCTTGTAAGACGAAATGGGTATCTGCAAGGTAGCGCGAAGCGAAGAAAACGTCGTTGCACAGATTCAATTCGCTCGGCCCCATTATTGTAGTTCGGGTTTCGGACTGCAGAGCAGTATTCCAACGTAGATCGTACGAGAGAGCAATAAAGCGATTTCAAGCAGTAAATGTCTGTTAAGTTCTTAGTAATCTTGGAGACAAATTCAAGAGTTCTGGACGCTTTGTCGACGACATACTATATATGGTGTGAGTATGTCAGCTTTGAGTCTAGAAAAACGCCTAAGTCTTTCACGCAATGCACCCCCCTCCCCTTGGCTAGTTTTTTAACCTGGACGTTGGTGGGCGGGCCTAATCTTATGCTTCATAGTGGAGCGTTGGAGACGGTTGGCTTAGGTCCGGCATCGTTGGCTCATGCCGTGACAGAATAGCGTCATGAGCATGCGATGAGGATTACTGAGCTCCCCTCTCTGATGAACCATTGCATAAGAGAACCAAAGTTCTAGCCTGAAGTGATAGTATCACACTTGTTACTCCTTTATTTGAAAGCCGCGTTGTATTACGCTTACGTATAGGCACTGACGTTGGGTGCGATACTGGCGGGTTTTGCCGCAAATCACTCTTATTTTTTTACGCAGATAAATTATTTGGGTTTGCAAGTGAATTATACCATAGAGATAGAGGTAGCTCTAAGACCACTGGGTCCCGAAGAAAATCATTATTATTTTTGGCTCACTCAGTACCAGAACAACGGTCCCAAGCAGTCCCAAGCTATTTCACTCACCCCTGCATGTTCTGCATGAATCCACACACCCCTGATGTTATCTGTCAAACTTTCATAGCGAATCAAAACAAACATAGTGTAGTAATAGAATTTCAACTAGAATAGGGTACGTTAATCGTTTGCTTGGGACCAATAGGCTACTAAAGTGGTGAGCCAATTTAAAATCGTTAGTTTCGTATTGATTGTTGATTATACTATTGAAATATTTCAGAAAGTCCCCACAGTGCTCCTTCGACTTGCGTGACAAGCTTTCGTTGTTGTTTTCATTGAGGTATTACTCAGGGCACAATGTTAAACGCCATTTTTGTACATGGTATTGCAACTAATCTTATATGTGCTTCATTTTGATTTGGGAGAAATGTTTGAACTATGGCTCGAGATTTCCACTGTGGTGCGCTTCTATTGTGACATAACCATACGTAATTTTGTGGGACGACATAGTGGAAACGTGTGAGCGTAGTTGGAGCATTTACCCTATATAATTTAAAATCAGCTAGGAAACTAACTTCAAAATGAAGCATTTTAGTCACTTGAAGGTGTCACCTGGGACGAACTAATATATATTAAATACACTGGAGTCGCTTTTTACGCGGGTGATACGTCCCGCGTAAAAAAAAAACCGTGTAAATTCCGGAATCCGCGTAAAAAAAAACCGCGTAAATTCCGAAATCCGCTTAAAAAAACCGCGTAAAAAAGACCGTGTAAAAAAACCGCGTAAAAAAAGACCGTGTAAAAAAACCGCGTAAAAAGCGACTCTAGTGTATAATGATAAACCGCGTAAATTCTGATATCCGCGTAAAAAAAAAAGGGCGTAAAAAAAACCGCGTAAATTTCGGAATCCGCGTAAAAAACCGCGTAAATTCCGAAATCCGCGTAAAAAAAACCGCGTAAAAAAAACCGTGTAAAAAAACCACGTAAAAAGCGACTCCAGTGTATAGGTCAAATTAAAAAACAACTTGAAACACGTTAAATTTCAGATTACGTTCACAAGTGCAGGTACTTACGTAAAACTACATAATTCGTATAAATGTAAGTAAATCATCAATCACTCAACGAATCGATTACGTAAGTAAATATACTTCCAACTAATTAAAAATGGAAAATTACATCAAATTGAGTCGCCAACTAATTCAGTTGAAACTAAACTGTTGACAATTGAAAGCATAGTTAACTTTAACATAATTTTGATAAAACAATCATTTCAACCAGTTCACTTTAAAACAAACAAGTATGAAAGGAGGTTGCTTAGAATAAAGATAAAAGTAATAAGCGCAATATTAAACGACATTAAATTTGAATCTGATACGGTAGGCCATATAACAGAGTCGATAGCCATTGCAAATCAACCATCTCTACCTGCTTATTTTCCTAACTTTCACTATTATTGCTGTTACTCTGACTATCCCCTATGTTCAACAGCTTTCCTTACTATCCGGTATCGTAAACAGGATTCATTTGACCCCTGTGGTTATTATTCTGTGATGCCAAATCTATACCTCTACCCTGGTGCAGTATGGACAGCGATTTTTCGGTGGTGACTTGGCCCTATGACCCCCTTCTGTGCTTGAAAATGAAAATGAAAATGAAAGTCTTTCACGCAATGCACCCGTTCGATAGTCGTGCCTAGTAGTTTGTAATTGAAAATAATCGGTTGTTTCTTGCGTGAGAAAGTAATGAGTGTACACTTAGCTGGGTTGACCACCAGTCGGTTTCTGATTTTGGAGAGAACGGCAGTCGGCGAGTGAGCGGATGCGCAGAAAAACTTTCAGATCGGTAGTTGTTTACGTCACGTTTGCTTCCCTTTTTACGAACAGGAAATATATCCGCAGACTTCCAGCAAGACGGAAAGATGCCACTGGAAAGAGAGAGGTGGAGTATGCGGCGCAGTGGATCTAAAAGACAAGTGATGTTCCTTTTAAGAATAATCGACGGAACACCATCCGGTCCAGCCTTAGCTGAAGTCTTAAGTTTAGATGCTGCTCTATAAAACGTATTTGTAGTGGCTTCGACCATGCTGAGCGTTTGGTTGACCAAAGGAAAATTACTGGCCGCGGAAGTAATGAGATTAGCGGAGAGTTGCTCATTTTCAAACGCACTAGAAAATTTGGCTGAGAACAGGTTGATTGCCAGCAGTTTCACCATTAAAAATCATGGAAGAGGGTAAGCCGACTTCCCTGCGTTGCTCATTTACGAAGTTCCAGAAGGATTTCGGGTGTGATTTTAGCCGCCGTTGAAGGCTCCTTTGATAGCGTTGAAAACAGAGACGACTTAACCGCAGTGTGCGGAGTTTAGTGAATCTTCTGAAAGCAGCCTTCTTAGTTCTTTTCAACGAGCGAAGATCTTTCGTCATCCACGGGACGCGAGAGTCGAAATGGATGATCTTTTTGGAAACGTGTCTGTCAATGACATATGCCAAGACGTGAGAAAAGGTTTGTGCAGCAATGTTGACGTCTACAGGATCTAGAATATGCTCCCAATCTAGGTTAGGCTCATGGACTGCGATGGTCAGCTCTTCGGAAGTCATATGACACAGCGTTTGGAGTGCTGGTAAAACAATGGACAATATTATTTTCGATCACGATAACTAAAGCAGGGTGATGATGCACTTCCTTGACTAAAGGTTCGGGTGCCGTAGAGAGGAAAGGAGCTGTATCACGAGCACTCACAAAGCAGAGATCCAGGGTGCGGTTGTTTTCATTCAACAGGCCATTGATTTGTGGCATGATTGCGGTACTATAACTGTCCAGGAGCTGGATGGTTCCTACGTGGAAAGATGAACGCTCGTGATCAGGACAAAAGAAACCACTGTGGGTTGGAGTCCATGCAATGTCCGGTAGGTTAAAATCGCCAAGAACAATAACTTCGTCGGAAGGGCCTGCTTTGTCTGAAGCGACCAATACGGATCGACAATGTGCGTCAATAAGCTCCAAGTCACGGGTTCGATCTGGAAAGATGTACACTGCACAGAGAAGGAAATGACGATCACCAAGTTGAATAGCCACCCACACTTGTTCAACCGGGTTCCAGGAATCGTTTGGATGGGTTTTAAATTAATTTTATCAAAGTGGTTTGAAAACCGCTATATCGTTATCAGCCATATTAGACTCAGTTTGAAATCAGTTCAGTAAATTCAGTTTAATGGAGAAATTCCCTGGTGTACTCAGCACACACAGCAACTTAAATTGAATCAAATTAACTCAAAATTCGCATTCCACACTGATTGCCAATCTTCCTTTCCAGCTAATCGTCGAGCTCATCCTGGAGCTGGTGTGTGAAATCGTCTCCAACATCGCCAATGCATCATCGGAGAAGGCCATCCGGACGGCCATCCTGGAGTGCTGCTTCTCCGTGATTCGAATCTACGTGAAAAATAACACCAACCGAGTGGCGCTCGACAAGGACAGCGATCCGGTCGATTTGATTCTCATCCTCAAGCTGATCAACAACCTGACGTCGAAGTTGCTCTTTTCGGACGACTTTGCCGGCTCGGACGAAACCAATGCCCAGACGTCGGAGATTTGCATTTTCGGCATCACGCACATCGTGCCGCTGATAACGATCGATCTGATCAAGTATCCGGATCTCTGCCTGCAGTACTACAGTACAATTACTTCCTTCATCGAGGAAAAGTCGCATATTGTGAGAAAGTTTTTTAATTGAAATTTGAAATGGGCATTTTTTTTAACTAGAATATTGCCGTTTCTAGATTCCTACCTTGCATCCGGACCTGCTGAAACAGCTGCTCGGGTCGATCGAGCTTGGCCTAAGTTCCTTCACGTCGGAGATTGAGTGCAGGTGTTTGGAGTTCCTGGAGATCTACGCCAACAGTGTGTACTTCAATCAGGACCCGCAGGCGCCGATGGCACAGCTGCTGCTTCCTTTCCTCAAGCTGATGCTGGACATGATCTTCGGCCAGAAGATCGACCTGAATAACACGATGGACTGGTACCGGACGGTGTTTGTGTTGATCTGTTGCTTCCCGGAGCATTTCAAGGAATTGCTGCACAACTTCCTCAGCGAGCAGTTCGATTCGGAGGCAAGCATGGGTAAGGACCTGGCGGCCAGTAGCATGGCTCTGGTGAACAATATCGAGTTTGTGAACAATCGGTTGACCAAGTCGAAGTTTGTCGATAAGTTCGACAAGTTTGTCACGTTGGTTAGCACGATGGTGAAGAAGTAAGCTACAGTAAAGCGTGTTTCAGTTCTACGTAGGCTACGACCGGTAAGTTGGAAAACAGTTCTGTTGTTTCTTGTTATTAGTGATTAAACCTAGTTGTTATTCGTTGTTTTTTTTTTTTGAAGAGACAATGAACGGTGTAGCTTGACGTCAGGCAGATTATCACCAAGTGAAATTGGAATTAGAAATTTTTTTTTTTTGACAAATTCACACCGTAATCGCTTTCTATAGATTACTTTTACAAATACACGAACAGGAAGAATTGAGTGAAAAGCATTTTCATCTGAAAGTGATATGATTCGACAAACATACAGTGTATCGCACAATTGAGCGTACATCTGAGTGAACAATGTTGTAAAACACTGTGCATAGATAGATTTTTGAAATCTTGGTTGGTGGTTGAACAACTGTTTATTGATTTATCGGACTTGGACTTTATTGACAGAGCCGATATGAAGTTAGAGCAATTTGAGTAAAACGCTCGATTTGCATTTTTTTTTTCGTAGTGGGCAGATTTTAGTAAAAATTGTGTTATTTTAAAGATATTTATTATGACTTCAATAGAGCAAAATTTCAAAAATTCGGTGCAGTGTATTTCAAGAAAAAGTAGTTTTTTGAGAAAAGGCGTTTTTCTAACTTTTTACTCACTCAACCAAATAAGCCACACCGATAAATGTTTGATGAGCCAGCAGCTAAAATTTCAGAAATCTGTCTTTTTAAATTGTGCTGTTTTCCTAAAATTTATGGACAGCCGTACGCTCAATTTTGCGATACACTGTAGATCAAATGACACAATGAACGTGAATGACCTATTAGGAATAAATGGTAACACCAACAGTCAGATCGATGGGTATCGGATGATTCTACTTAGATTAAATAGGAAAACTTTTCTACATTTTGAAGGCTGTTTTGTGTCTTCTCTCTGTTGTACTGTTCTAAGTTACTTTTTTTATGGCCGTCTCTTTGAATGTTTGCAACGTTTCTTCGGAAAGCGCCGGAAGTGTTTTGTATAGATGGTGAACGATCGTGATCGTGTAAAACTATTGTAGATAGGAACGTGTACTTAGATAGGGATAACAATTGGAGCAGGTATTTTCATCTTTGCGCAAATTTCCGTTTCGAACGTCTGTGTTTATGAGGAATGAAATTTTTGGCAGGAAATCCGGTAATACTTTCCACTCTTAAGTAGAGAACTATACATAGTTGTTCAAACAATTCCATGGCCTTTCTCCTGTTGATAGAATTGATCTTACTCTTATTGAACGTAATCTGTCGAAATTGGACATCTTTCTCTGGAGCACTATTCCCAGCTTATGGCATACAACCACAACACAACAATCACTTACAAAATTGTACGTTTACTCTTTTTTCTGTTAACGTGAAGATCCCCTGTAGGAAAAGCGGAAGCTCTCGTGTGGTACGATTAAGTAACGAAAAAAAAAATGCATTCTCACACTATAAACATTAATCGGAAAATCAACAAACGAGGTGGACTAGAAAACAATGTTTTGAGGTCGAATTTTACACGCACTTTTTGCATCAACTTTTTATTAACAGTATCAAAGTAGAAAGAATCAAAGTGAAAAAAAAAAACTATATATTTATACAGATGTACCAAAATGACGACACACACACGTATAGTTATTTGAGTGGATGAGTAATTTTAGGATATGTAGCGTTTTGGAATGAACGTAGAGGTGAAGTTGTTTTTTTTTTCTTCTGTAAACGAAATTGGTATGAACTTTGTGGAAAATTTTCGATTATTTATTCACTTTATTATACGCTTCGCTGTTGAAGAGAAATCGATCGAACACTAGAATATTTTACCTTATGATTATTGAATTAAGCGTTGCTATTTATAACATAGGATCAGATTTTTACCATCGTTATGTGAACAAAGACTTACCGCTAATAAATATATTTACATTCATGTGTGCATTCGCGTAGTAGTCATTGCGTGGCATCTCATCCATTGGTTGACCCCGAAGGTGCCACTTTCAGGGTCATAATCTCATTCAGTAGAATGTTTTCGCAATCCATAGTAACATGCACATACTTCATGACAAAACGCGAAATATTGTTTTCCAAATTCACTACCGCACTCCGTAGAGAAATTAATAACGTCGTTGTGAAAATACATTGAACATTCATCATCTCAGAATTGTTTATCCATGTAAATAATATTCATAACCATTTATATCGGCCATAATGCATGTGTTTTAGTTATATCATATTTTTGTAAAAGCTTAGCAAATCCCTCCCCCGGAGAAATGCAAATCACTTAAACCGATGAGCTAGGGAAAATTCAAGAAATAACACTTGACAAATTTAAAATTTGTTGATAAAACACTGTAATATTGGTAGAAGCAAGAATAGAAGCAGACCATTACCTTTTTCCGACACACTCTTAACAACAATCAAATATACACTATAATACACCTACATGCATACACAAACCCACTCTCTCTTTCGTAGAATAGCCGATAAGTTTTAAATCCGAAATCAGGGGCCTCATTGGGGAAGTCAAAACGAAGCGTTTTTCGTATGAACGCTTGTATGAAAAAGTCGATTCGGCTTGGTTCCATAATGTGACGCCAGATTTGACCACAGATAGATTCGACGCGCGTATATACAACAAAATGGATACTTAACGAGGGAAAACATTGCAGTCCTATTTGCGCGAGCAAAGTTGCTCATTTATAGATATATATCAAAAATAAAACAAAAAGAAAGCAGTAATTACTATTACACATTGAATCAAAGATATTAATTCTTGAGTGGAGCCATTTTGCGAACAAGTCACAAGACACACACACACACACATAGCGCGCGTACACAAGCATCATGGTAGCACAGAGAAAGCTAGCGAAATCGGTTCCCGTGTTTGCCAATAAAAAGCGGATCCTGTTAAGAATGAATAGAAGACGATGCTAACGGGAATCGACGTATCTATTTACTTTCCAAAAGTACAAAATAACCATTAACGTGGGGAGAAATTAAAGCAAACTAAAACAAAGTGAGGAGAAAATTTGGAGAGCGATGAGTCACAGATATTAGCTAAGCGATTTTAAATTTATCTTTCCGAAAAGTGATACTGAAGTAAATAATAATAATAATAATAAAAATAATAATAATAATAAAACATTGGAGCCAGGACGACGATCTTGGGTGATTGAAGACAATGCTCTTCGTGAAAATAAATCGTACATTTTATTGTTTCATCCGAAATCCTTAAAAAAAAAATCTTTTCAAGATACCGTAAAGTGCCTTAATTCTGCGCACCTAAGGCCTGATAAATTTTGAGGGTACAATTCTAAGAATAATTTTAAGGGAATTTCCAAGGATTATTTCAAGGGTATCACGAAAAGAATTTCTTTAGAATTTTAAGGAAATTTCCAAGCAAAATTTCAGAAGAATTTAGATGATAACTCCAAGATATTTCCGACCAAAATTTTAAGACAATTCTGACGTGAATTGCTTGGGAATTCTAAACAGAATTCAACCGAATTAAAAAAGACGTATGGAAGAAAGCTTCAGTGAATTCCTAAAAAAAATCTTTAGGGTTCAAAGAATACCTAAGGATGAATTTCTTGATTTTTTTTTTGATTGATCTGCAGATAATTTCTGGACTGTTATGAAACAATTTGCAATGGACTTCCAGATAATCTCAGACTTATTTTAGAAAAAATTCTGAAATAAACTCTGTGAAGGGAAATGATTCTAAAGAAAATGCTTAAGAATATTCCAATAAAATCCAGTAAAGAGTTTCGAGTGGATTTTCATCATAGCCACTGAGAATAAATCAGAGAGAGAAAGTCACTTCTACTCTGTTGTATGAGAAATTTCTAAAAACTACAGATACTCAGCGCTGAGTTCCTGCAGTTTTTAGAAATTTAACCATAACTCTGAGTAGAAGTGACACTCTCTCTGAGTTCCTCTTTGAACTCTAGTCAAATCTCTCCTCAGAATTCGTTCGAAATTCTCCTCAGATAACCCTTCCCCCCTATTCTGCGAGTCACGTGACTCTCTCTCACCGGTGAGGTGACAATTGTCACCTCACCGGTGACAGAGAGTCACGTGACTCGCAGAATAAGGGGGCTTGTTATTTTCCTCATAAATCGTTGGAAAGCTCTTCTCAAACATTCTTACATTTTTTAAATTTACCTCTATTTTAATGAAGTTGACCTCAGAATACGATTCCTTTGGTATTTTTCTCGAAATTTAATTGAAGTTCTTGAATCTTTAAATTTGGTTTGTAAAGCTCTTTGCGTTGTCATCACAACTCTTGAAATGTTCATTAAATCTACTATTCTCCTCATGATCACCATACAATTTTTTTAAAAATCAACCAGCATTTCTCCTTGATGTTCTCCTCACAACTTCATTGCAATTTTTCTAATAATAACCTAGGAGTTCTATTCAGATCTTTTTTTTTCTCCCCAGAAACATGCTTGGCATGCACAGTTGTATACACCAACTGCTCATTTGTTAATATCTTTTCGCTCAGTTATTGAAAATTAATTTTCTTTAAAGTAATTTATAGATTAGGATCATAGCTTACTAAAGATATGCAAAGAGTAGGTAAATCTTAACATTTGAATCAACACCAATGATTTTTTACACTTAAAGACCAAGGTGTGCAGCGAGCATTTCTCTCTTCATTTTTACAACGCAAACATATTACTAGAATTAAAATCTACCTTTCCTTACGTACATTTCATTACAAGCTTGAACTTTATTCTATCTACTGCTTCAAACAGAACTACGTTTTGACAACTGTGTGCAAAGTTATTAGCAAATGAGCAGTTTGTGACCAAAACTGTGTATGCCTAGCATGCTCAGAACTCCTTAAAATTTCGAATCCTCCTTAACGCTTCAATTCTTTTTGAGCCCTCCTCAAAATTCGAGACAGAATCCTATGCATTTTTTTAATTGTTAGAACATGGAAAATATTCCTAGCACTGTAATATATTTTTTTTAATCTAACTAATCTAATCTAATCACTAAAAAATCAGAATGATTCCAATACTTTTCTAACAGAACTAAAATGTCCGCCGAGAAATGTCACATTAGGTGAATGAATCATTACACCCTCAAGAAAATTTCAAGCGAACGAAGATCGTGGAAAAAAGTACACGCTGGACCGTTTAAGAGGGAAAATGTCCCGGTATCCACCGTATACCGTATGCTGGCATCCATGGCAGTTACCCGGAAGAAAGGTAGCGGCCGTCCAACGAAGATAATCCCCCTTATTCTGCGCTGCGAGTGAGGTGACTCTCCGTGCATATCAAATGGAGAGTCACCTCATTCTCGGTGATTATTGTCATCTCACTAGTGACAGCGAGTCACCTCACCTCACTCGTGATCCAGAATAGGCCTCAATGAATAAGAAGACGCTCGCGGATTCGGTAGTCAACGGGAAGCGGCCAGAATGCTTCGTTGTTCGAAGTCACACATCTGCAAGACTCTAAAGGGCCACCAACATTAGATCCGTTTGCGTTGCGTTGACGTTAATTTGACAGTTAGACAATAGATTTAGCTGTAAGCAGCTAGCTTGTAAGAAATATAATATTCTTATATTTTCTTGTGCATTATTATATTGCTTTCTCTTTTTGTACCATTCGTTCTATTCTATTCGATATTTCGTCCCTATTTGGACCATTCGACCATTTGTCCATTAGACCTTTTGTCTCCCTTCTAATTACCCATTCGACCTTTTGTAGCTCTTTGGATCATTTGACCTTTTGTCACCATCTTTAGTCCAAAGCGGCACCGGTGGTGTAGTGGTAAGCGTGATTGCCTTTCACCTCAAAGGCAGTTGAGTTGTGGTTACTGTTTCCAAATAAACCACAGGTAATATTTTACTTATTTTGCTTGTGCTTGTTGCTATAGCTGTAGCCTAAGTATAAGTAATTATTTAATAAAACATCACTTGGACCTTTCTCATCGACAACTTCACGAATTAGTTACTTGGGTCTCCCCCATGGCTCATGTTTAAGCCTCCTTCTTTATAATTTTTATGTAAATAACATTGATGGTTGTCTTGATGGAAATTCCTCGCTAAGGCATCTTGCAGATGATGGCGTTGTGTCTGTTATAGGGCCAAGTGCACCGGACCTGCAAGGACCATTGCAAGATACCTTAGACAATTTGTCTACTTGGGCTATGAATGGGCTATGGGCTATGTATTGAATTCTCTCCGGAGAAAACTGAGTTGGTTGTTTTTTTTTTTATTTCTAGGAAGCACCAATCTGCACAGTTACAGCTTCAACTAAAGGGTAGAACAATCACTCAAAGTATATCTTTCAAGTATTTAGGTATCTGGTTCGATTACAAAAGCACGTGGGGGAAAACATATTGCGTATGTGAAACAAAAATGTCAACAAAGAATCAATTTTCTTCGTACAATTACCGGATCTTGGTGGGGAGCACACCCGGAAGATCTGATCAGATTGTATCGAATAACCATCTTGTCGGTTCTAGAGTACGGTAGCTTCTGCTTTCAATCCGCGGCAAAAACACATATCCTGAAGCTGCAACGGGTTCAATACCGTTGTCTCCGAATCGCGCTTGGCTTCATGCACTCGACGCATACGATGAGCCTCGAAGCACTCGCGGGTGTTCTCCCACTGACAGATCGTTTCGCGGAACTGTCCTTCCGGTTTCTTATCCGTTGTGAAGTAATGAACCCATTGGTTATAGAAAACTTTGAGAAGCTGCTCGACAGAAATCCTCAAACAAGATTCATGAGTCTCTATTGCGAGTACATGACGCTGGAGATTGGCCCTTCTTCATTCAATTCCAATCGTGTTTGCCTCCAAGACTTTTTTAGTTCCTCTGTAAATTTTGATATGACCATGTTGCATCCGTGGAATACCAGATCACACTTGGCTACTGGTCTATTTTGTTATTACTTCTGTAAAACCGAAATAGCCACTGGCATAATAAGTCCAATAATTTCATGATTTTTTAAAAAATATTTAGGTAAATCAAAAATCAAGTTATTATTATCAACAAAATGTTTAAAAAATTTTTTGAATCAGAATAATATTTTTTTTTGTTTCAAAAAGAAGCGCATCATTAAAATAACAAGAATTGCTTTGTTTCAAAAAAAAAATCATGATAGATACAAATAAAAAAAAATGTTATTGAATCTACTCACAGTCATATGGAAGATTCATTGTAAAAACAACAAAAATTTGCTTAGAAGTCAATAACAGATATTGTTGATTCAAAGAAAATTGCTCTTGTGCCCTGATTCTATATTTTTTATTGTGGTTTATTTTTTAATTGAAAAGCCATTTCTCTGTGTGTAGCATCTGGAAGAAAAAAAAAATCTCTAGCAAATAGTGTATTTAGTTTACGTGGATGTGTTGTCATTCATGAGAAATCGATGCTTAAATTTATTGTTAACATAATTAGCTCATTCGCCTCTTTCACATGTTTGTCTAGAAATCTCGAAATGCCGTAGTCTTAGACTTTAAACTAATCTCGATTACTTTTTCAAAGGGACGTATCAGCTTTTGTACAATGTAAGGAATGAATTTCAATCCGGCACTAGTAGCACTCATCAAAAAGTTCATGGAGAATTCTTTTTCGAGAATATTAGTGAATGGTCATCTAACTCCCGAAATCCACATCCAGTGTTCGGTCCGTCAAGGAGATCCCTTGTCAATGTTACTTTTTGTGATGTATATGCAACCTCTATCTGACGTATTAAGGCGAGCTTTTCCTGGTGTGACAATTAATGCTTACGCAGATGACATCTCGATGTTCCTGGAAAACGAAGGAATGTTAGAAGTCTCTGAGCTGTGGGTTTAATGATTTTAAGGCAACATCAACTTAACTGAAGCTAACGAGTGGCTCTCAATTGAGAACCACGTCAAGATCCTAGGCATCTTTTATTGCGAGAATACCCGAACTGCCAGAGATCTTAACTGGAATTCGATCTTATCGGGTATGAAACAGCGGATTTGGGAACAAAGTCCCAGAAACTTGCCACTTACTCTAAGATTGACACTACTAAACACGTATGTGTGCAAAAAAATGTGGTACGTGGCCTCTATCGTGTACTTGCCAAAAAACTACGAAACTCGCA